GTCGGTATCCAGGGGGCGGGGGGGCAAGAGACATTCCCGGTGGAGCACCGGGAGGAGGGGGTGGTCCCCAGCCTGGAGGTGGTGGAGGAGGTAAAGATGACATGGTTTTGTGATGGAAAAAGTCGTTGGTAGAGGGTCGAAGTTGAGCTTCGCGGTATAAGGCGCGGATGCAAGGCCCAGGTGAGCACTTCTCGCTCAAAAGCGCGCTCGAAGCACGCGTGCAAAGGTGATTGCAACCTCGGACTCCAAGCGAAGATGAAGGAAAGAGAATGAAATCACCTTCTTCACCTCTCGCGATGGAGAGAGTTGCTGTTTGGAAGAAAACGGTGGTGGCCTACTCCCGTCGCGCGACGAACCTTTTGCGACGGGGCTTGGCGTCACGAAAATCTCAAAGGGGCAAAGCGCGGCTCAAAAGTTTAGCGAACATTAGCAACTCACGCCCACACATCTCGCTGCGATATTCAGACGACGTGACGACCCCCGACCCCGACGACTTCCCTATCGACATCTCTGGATTTCCGTCAAGATGCCTTCTACAAGATTGACATACGTAAGTTGTTGATGCTCTGGAACCTCAGTTTAGGCTGCATTGAGGCCACGACCGCTAATAAATTTCTCGAACAGCGCCGGAGACAACCGTAAGGACCCTAAATCCCAAATGTTATACCGCCATCATCTATAAATTCAATATCTTCGCAGCACAAAACATTTGGAGGATGCACAGTATTGACAGTTTGAATGCAGGTACAACACCAAGTCAAACAATGTCCGCGTTATCAAGACTCCGGGCGGCAAGCTACGATATCTCCACATCAAGAAGAAGGGAAGCGCACCAAAATGCGGTGACTGCGGATTGAAGCTCCCAGGTGTAAGTGCTATACTCTCATCACATAGTATATGCTTGGAAACGGAGGATCGCGAAGTCAGAGTTGTCCGAAACCATCTGATGGATCGGTCTCGGATTATAACAATGGATCGTGATAGCCTCTTTGAAGAGGCAACAGTCTCAGCCCATCACTTTGCGGTGGCTGCCGCCAGCGGGTGCATTGGAAAGAGAGATACAAGGCTGACCTTAAATCGGCCTACAGATTCCGGCCCTCCGACCCCGTGAATACGCGACTGTCTCTCGTCCGAAGAAAACCGTTCAGCGCGCCTACGGCGGCTCGCGCTGCGCAAATTGCGTTAAGGATCGCGTTGTGCGAGCTTTCCTCATCGAAGAGCAGAAGATCGTTAAGAAGGTGCTCAAGGAATCACAGCAGAAGAAGCGTTAAAGGACAGGTTGTGGTTGAGGAGAATAGATGTTGAAAATGACGGAAATCGGTGTTCACTTGCATTGTCGGTTCTCTACCGGGTTCATTATGGCTACTTTGGGACTGGAAGGAGCGAGCTTTCACATCATGTCGTCGTTGTCCAGAGGGGGGAACCTGAGCTGCGTAGAACCGTAGGGATCAGCTCGACAATTGACACTTGAACAAATCATATGTTCGAGTCTATGACTATCGCATTGGTGATGTGTCTTATTGATTTGATTAGATCGGTTCTTCTACGCGCCCGCCGTAACATTCACTCTATTAATCCCAGCAACCTATTATGGATTTATATCTCTCACCGTAATCCGACCAGCGAGATCTACCGCAAAATCGTGTGTATCGTGTAAAATGGTAGGAAAAAGTACACGGTGTGTTAAAAAGTGCTAACTTAATAGATCTATCGCCGCAAAGCTAATACACCTAGAACATAGATAAATTGATATAACGCGAAACTCCTCGATACAGCGATATAGAGCTTCCTAATGCCCACTATGAGCAGGCTGAAAATCCAATGGGTCGGAGAACGGTTGAGCCCTCGAATTAATATTCAGCCCCTCAGGCTATCTTACATCCTCATATCCTGACTAACACTGCAGTCGATGAAAAGGTGAACCCTGGTGCCAGGTTATGTTATGGCATATCCGTAGCATGCACAAACACCCGAAGACCTCCAGAAGGCATATATCAAGTTCTTCCGAATAGTACAGTAACCAGTCCGTACGAGGGCTGCTATCCTCAGCCACGGCACAAATTTATTTAATGCTCTTAAGGAGAACCCATATCTCTCAGAAAAGATGAAAAGGAAGAGCAGAGATGCTTAGGTGAGACTACTCCGGATTTTCGAAAAGGCTACCTTGCGCGGATGCAAAATAAAAATAATACCCTTAGATATGAGAAAATTTTATACACTAGCTTATAGTAATCAATTAGAAGCCTTCGAAAATAAAAATCTTATATTAATTGCACATAATTGTACATAATTGCGTTCGGTTCGCTCTCTAATGCTTCCTAGAGATATTAAAAACGACTATCCTATGTTTCCATACGATAGGTATATATTAGTTTGCAGGCGTATCTGATAGACTTGCCTAAGAAAAATAGAGCAGTCCAGGATAAACATATAGTTATATAGAAATGAGAATGACGGTTCAGTTAAGAACCACCTACTGAGTATAACCCTAGCTTGGGATAGAAGCCAAAAAAACAACCATCGATGAGGCAAAAAAGAACTTCCTCCCCCACGTGGGCTCGAACCACGAACCTCCTGATGTCTACCCAGTTGAACTGGATAACAGTCAGACGCGCTAGCCAATTGCGCCATGGAGGAATTGCGCCAAACGGCTTGGTCTGATCGGTCGATCTGAACGATGAGGTGAACATCACAATCTTTCATTTATATTCACTTACGAGATGGTCTGATGAAATTGAACAGGGTTTTCATTGGACACGGGTTCCCTATCGCCACCCGCCCATCACAGTCCTGGCTAACGAACCTCACGTTTATTAGAGAAACTCTAAAATATAAGTATCGCTCTTGTTGATGTAATTGACACGCCTTCCGCACCCCATTCATCTACAAGGCGATTGTAGAAACGTGAAGGCAGAATATCAGATATATGCAACTTATCAAGCTAATTGTTGATTTTTGGACTTGCCATTGACATCTAAGTATTTCTCTAACAGCCGGGCATATAAGTGTATGTCCATAAACAACCTGGTCATTGATAGTAGCACTCAGACATTTTGAAAGAGATGCTAAGGTCATAGATTAATCAACAAGCTAATGCGAAGACTGTTTTACGATTGTAGGCCTTTCTCGCGCCTCAAAATCCCCACGATCTACAGAGCACTTGCTGGGTAAGGGAATAAGAAAAGGGAGGCGAAAAGGAAAGAAAACATTGGTGAGAAAGGATGGTCTTTACCAGAGCATATTACCACTTCGACTAGTGATAGAAAGAAAAAGAAAGAATTAGATGTACAATGTTTCTACAAACGATTATTTTGCCTGGCGAGGTTCAGCAAGCCGTCTAGATAATGTTGATATTTTCTTGCTTTAATAGTAGTACCAATAGAAATCGGAGGCGCTCACTACTATTTTAGGTCTGCTCTCGTGCTTTCAACTTGAACTACAAGGGTAACTCCGTTGCATTGCGAAACTTACTCAAAGATTTGAGTCCATAAGAGGACGAGTTCGTAGCTTAAGTTGTCAATTCATTATCGCTGCAAACTAGGCAACATATCATACTATTCCATAAATTGTTGAAGGTTCTGAAGGAGGATGCGAAGCTTGGCCGTTAATTCCTGAGCTGCGTTTATATGCAATAGCATCTTGACCAACTTTCAAATGTATTTCAGAGACAGCCGTACGCCCTAGAAGCTACCAGGCGTATAACTCACCTTTCTTAATCAAGAATTCCGTTCCCTCCTTGATATCTCGTAGAAAAATAATGATTTAAGTCAATGTTGACGTGCTGTCATTGATATCTGCTGAAGTCACGAGAATAGAAAAAGGCAAACGCGTCGACATGCGGAGCACATACTTCACATCAGCTTTTCGCTGCAAGTGGTACGTGTCTTGTACACTGCTCTTTTTGGCTTTAAATCAACTGGTATTCTTCTGAATTAAGGGATCTCCGAGATTTAGCACATGTAAGTGTTGAGTGGTAAATTAAGTTGATAAAATCTACGTCTTCCTAAGATCTTGCATGTATGACCCCTATGCTATATTCTGATAATTGCGTGATTCTTACGCACGATTTCAGACTGACAGTAATCCAAAACTCCTTTCTTCTGTCGCTAAATACATTTGAACAGGTCAAACTCTCTTAACTTTGAATATCATTGTGCCCATCGTGCGTATGAATATGTTTTGCGACACAAATCCGTCCACCTCTCTTTAATTTCGAACACCCACACAGTTGTATTTTAAACGTCTCGACTCTATGCTATTGCACTGTATAATATGTGAGAATATGAAGCTAAAGCAATCTGGAAAATCAAAACTTACTCCTTGCATTTGGATGCGGCCTCAAGCCCACATACTCTCTTTGCATTTCTTCCATTTGCGCTGACTCTCTTTCGCGCTCTTGCTCTACTTTCTCCGTTGCCCACGGTCCCTGCCGTTCGCCTGCAGGGGCTAGCGGCGATTTGCCATACAAATTTCCAGGCCCGTGTGTCGGAGCTATGCGAGGTGGTGGCTGAGGGTGTTGCGGACCACGCGGAGGATAGGGGGAGATAGGCTGTGGGCCTCCTGGCATTGAATGCCGTTGAGCTGAGGGGGGAGGAATATTAGGATTTGGAGGCGGGGGAGGAGCAGGAGCAAGAGTAGGAGGCGGACCAGAGTTTGGACGGGGGATCGACGTGCGTGGATCCGGCGGTGGGTACGCAGAACGGTAAACCGGCGGCGCTCTCTGATGCGTGTGTGCTGGGGTTGGGGCAGGCGCAAGGAGAGGCATTGGATTCCTTCCGCCGCCTCCAGACGGGAGAGCTGCGAGACCACTTCCCACTCCCATATTTCCTGGAGCACTACTATATGCGGGGGTTATTGGACTACCCGTCGCGAACGTAACCGAGGACGGAGAGCTAATTGCTCTAGAATCGTTAATTGAGTGACCGCTGGCCTTCATTTCGGCTATCTTCTTCTCTGCAGCTCGGGCTTTACGCTCGGCCCACCAGATCGTCATGCTTTGGCTCCGCTTCTCGGATTTGACACGCTGCTTCCGCTTTTTATCTGACGTGCTGCCAGCTGGAGTCGCTGGGTCTTCCACGTAACTTGTACCGTACTGGGAGAGCGGTGTTGTGGTGATGAACTGCTCGGCGGCGGCGGGTGTAGCAGATCCAGTTGCCAAATCCGCGGCGGGAGCGGTAGCTGGTTGAGGAGCGGCCTGGAAAACCGTAGAAGTTGATGGCAAAGTGGTAGGATTAGGTATAGACGTTGGTGTAGTGGTTGGAGGCTCAAGCGCGAATTGGTTTTGCCCTTGACTCAGACTCTCCAGTGTTACCGGCACGACCTTCTGGGTGCGTCCAAAGGTCCCTTTCCTCGGGCCCTTTTTAATTCCTGCGTCGCTTCTTCTTTGTAGGTTTTTGCTTCCAGGAGGCCTACCTCTCCGTTTTGTCTGTGGTGCAGGGCTGCCTTCCTCTCCAGAACTCGTTACCGCGCTCTCACCCCTCATCTCCCTGATACGTTGCGGTAATAACTGATTAGCTCCAGTTCTTACCCTCTTACTTCGTCCTTCCACCTCAGGGGTCTCAGAGCCCGCAACGCCGCTAATTCCTCTCTTCCTTGCGCCACCCCATCCAAAACGCTGTGGAGTGTCAGTTCCTGTTGCCGTTCCTGTCCCTGTTCCAGTGCCGTCGAATCGCTGTACTGCACGCCGCCTCCGTTTGCCAGGTCTCCCATCTTCATCTTCCTCCTCTTCTTCACTAGGCGCGGCAGAACCAAGCATATCGCGGGCCCGCCGCTGGCGCAACTCACGTCCACCGACAAAGTCGCGGCCAAGGCGCTGCGCGAAAGGGTCCTGTGTTCCAGGCACCTTTTTTGCGTCGTATGAGTAATTGTAGAGATCAGCTTCCTTCATATCCTCATGAACGGCAGGGTCGACCGGGATACGGCCGCCTGTGCACGGTTTCTTTGGAGGATGAGCATGGGGTGCAGTCTAGAACTTGTTAGCTGTTTTTTTGATAGATTGGACCCAAAGTGGATTACGGATGTAGACATTATGAGAAATAAGAAAACTAATTACCTTTGCATCTAAGACTAAATACTGATCCTGCCATGCTTTAAGCGCACGTTGTGTGTTCAGGGCTAGGGTATACAGAGTATCAGTAGAACGGGCCTTAGGAGCATATTTAGTAAGAGCAGCGATAAAGGCTTGAGGGTCCGTCATTGGTTTGAAACGTGTTTTGACGAGATAGTCAGCGGCGTCATCACAATCAGATTCGGAGGGCTCGTTGTAATCAACAATAAATGGCGGTGGTAGATCTGTATCTGACAGCTCATCGTTGATGGGCTCTAGTGGTGGCGGCAAATCTACTTCAATGGGGGTTGAGCTTGAATCTTGAGGGGTTTGTATGCTGGGCTCCTTTGGTAATGAAGGCCCCGTCTGCGGGGTTGCATCGGCAGCTGTAAATGAACTTTCCTGTTTCTTAAGATTCGGTATAGGTGGAGGTTTCCAGGGTTCAGGAGCTGGTTCAAAGTCCATCGAGATATCAGGGTCGGCATCGCTCTCCTGCGACTGCTCTGCATCCTTGTTGCTAGAATTCTTGGCGCTTCCACTCGGAGAAGCGCGATTGGACAAAACTTCTTCATCAACATCCGTGAGAGGAAAAGTAGGTGCGGCGGTCCGCGTAGGTCGTTTCTTTCGTGGCGAGACGGATTTCATTCCTTTTGCTCGCCTGCCGCCTCGGCGTCCTGATGCAGGGGTTACTAGTGGTGACTGGGAATTTTCGGCATCATCGTCAGCAGTATCATCCTTGGGAAATAATGGCGGGTTGGACCGCGTTCCAGATTTAGCAGGCGAAGCTTGTGTCGTGGAGTTTAGTTGCTTCTGTTCCAAATCTTCCAAAAATTCCTCAGTCAGGCCAGAAATGATGAGCATGGGCTTTTTCCAGGATGCAGCGACTTGCTGCGGCGGTCCACCTACAAAAATCTGTGAGTAGGTGGAAATGTTTGACGACGAGCGCGTCATTTTACGAGTGATGCTCAAAGATCCATTACTCGTAGTACCGTTGGTGCTGGATTTCGGGGTGGGAGTATTTGCTTTCGAAGAGGCTGATTTGCCTCGTCCGCTTCGTGTCCGCATAGCAAGTCTCCGTGTTTAGTATGCCGAAGCACTCCTGAGCTTGACACCGCGATACTTTCGTAACGGATATCAATCCAAGAAGGAGGGAGGCATACAAAATTACATGAGAAGATGAGGTTTGGAGGATTAGCAAAGAAAGATGAAAATTGTCGATGGTTGCCGCGAAGTCACGGTAGCGCAGAGCTGAAAGGGTGATAGAATAATACAACAATAAGAACTAGAAGTCGGGAGAGCGCAGCAGCCCGCAATGAACGAAAGGGAAGGAGAATCAACTTGATCAACGAATTATCAAGAAGAAGAGACTCGATGGGGATGGTGTTGAGGGAGTTGTAGGTGTCGTGATCTTTGTCCGTTTGGCTTCTGATGCTCGACGCTGAGCAAAAACGAACCACGCCAAGACATAAGCTTCCGGCCAATCACACCCGCTGCCCCAGATCCCGTCTTACGGCCTTGGGCTTGCTTTAGCCACTAAGGTAGCAGCAGCGTAACGAGCTTCGACAATCCATCAAAGCACCGCAACCAACCC